CTTCTGCCAAATATTTCTCAACGTCTCAAGGCAAGAAAATTATTGATTGGAAATTTCAAAACTTTTTGAAATTTTTTAATTACGAAACAGTCCTGAAAAAAGTTGTTAAAAGTTCATAGATAAAAAATTGTCTTTAACCTTGACTGATTTTCATTTTGCTGTATTTAATTCAGTTATATTGGAAAACAAATAACACTTATATTGATAAAAATAAGCAATTACTAAGCATATTGTTTCAATAGATCTCCATAGTATTTCAAATAAAACTTTGTCTTTGCAGTATTAGCCAAAAAAAATTTTCTAAACCCGTTTAACTAATAATTGAATACCTAGTTAGTTTAACACCTACTTAATCAACACTGTTAAAGCTAGACTATCCCAGAAATCTCATCGAGCATAGTATTCAGCAAACAAAGAAAATTCCTTTAGAAGAACTTCGAAGCCCAAAGGAGCACAATACCGAAAAACAGCCATTAGCCTTTGTCACTACTTTCAATCCCCGCAACTTCGACATTTTCAAAGTTATAAAGGAAACAATTTCAATGCTTGACGCAAGCCCGAAAATGGAGCGAGCGATGTCTAAATTCAATCTTATTAACAGTAAACGATATCCTGCCAACATCAAAAAGATTCTTTCAAGAGTCATATATTGTGCAAATCAAACAGCAGAAATATCAGCAAGCTTTAATAGTTGGTCACAAATGCGATGAAAAGAGATGTGGTACCTGTGCAATTATCTTGGAATGCAACGAAATTAAGTTTAAAAGATCTCAAGTTCTCTTTAAAATAACATGCAAAATGGACTATACTGTCACAGAATTTATTTATCTCATCAAATTTGGAGGATGTGATAATGAATATAACGGGGAAACCTTAAATTTGAGAGCCAGAATGAGAGTCCACAAGCAACAAACTCTAGATCCACAGCTACGAAAATTATTTGTGAACCATCGTATAGCACACTGCGCTATTGGTAAACCAGCGCTATTTAAAGTTGCGCCATTTTTTCTGTCAACCGTGATGACAAAATGTACCGAGAAAAAATGGAGCAATATTTCATAAGAAGATTTAAGATTTGGTTTTCCTACTGAGCAGCGTGCAATGTGCTGATTAACATAAAGATTTCTCGATCTTGGGTGTAGAGTTTGCTGTTTGTGAATTCTTACTCTAGCACGTAAATCTGATGTTTCACC